TAAGGACATGTATTTCATATTGGGAGGGTAGAAAGAAGTTTAATGATGGAGTGACTGATGGGTGGCGTCATATGGGAAATTGCTTGATGCCATGGAAGTCTCCAAGTATATACCATCAGACAAACTATCCTAGATGTTACGGAACAGAGAGACTCCCAGACCAAATTAAAAGGCTCAAATCACATATTTCATTCAATCAAAAGAGATGCAAAGGGAGTAAGGTGGAGTCCTATCAATATGATTACAATAGGGTTACAAGCAGAGTGGAGGGACCATACCATGTAAAGCCTGGGATGTGCAATGTTCACAAAACAAAGACTGACACCAAATTGCCAACAAACTGACTTTGTACCCAGGTACAAATGGCCTTGTCATTCGGTGGCAAGTACAGCATACACCCATGGGGTAAGTCAGAAAGCCCTGGGGGTTGTCAGAGGCTTCCCTATTCACAGCATTGCACCTAAATAGAAGATTTTATCCTTCTCCATACTGAATATAATAAATTAACCAGACCTATACTGTCTTGTCCTCAACAGATGGTTCTTGTTTTTCCCTTACACTCATCTAAAGGCCCTTACCACAAACTACAGCTCTGAAATTGAGTTTTAGAAGAAACATCAAAGAATCTCAATAACAGATGGTATCTAATACCTGCCAGACTCTACCCAAGGACAGAATTGGGATTTTCAGGACTCTTTTAGTCATGAAGCAGACTTCATGAAAGTTGAGCTTAACCCAAGATCACAAAACAAGAACTAATTACCTAAGACTGAAATAATGAATTTGATTGTGGTTAATGTTCCATTGTGAATTACTCCTTAAGCTGTTTTGATCTGTCAGTTAAACATTGAACACACTTTCAACTGGTATCTTGTCCTAACTGATCCCTCAGGTTTCAGAAAACTTTCTATAAAAGCTCTTCTGATAGGTTGTCAAGAAAACCCAACGAAAAATGATTCTGTAGAAAAGATGTCATATATTGATTGATCTTACTACTTAGAAAAGTAGTTGAAAGCTATGCAAAGTACATTTACTGTTTTTTAAACATTTTGTTGTGATATAATTAATTGCATAGGTTCAATACATCTTGTTGTACTTACATAAATAAAACAAGCCGGGTACCACAAAACATACTATATCAGAAATAAAATTTTCAGTCTTAGTTTCTGCATACTTTTTCAGTCTTGGTTTCTGGATATTTTTTCACAATGAGAGTGTTGGCTTACCTAAAAATTAATGATATTTGTGGTCAGATTGTAATATGTGCTTTTTTTAGACTACGTCTCAATGTGCTCAAAAGATAAAGGTCTTACCTTCTGGACCTGTCAGATGACATGATGAAATCAACTTTAATAGGTGGATAATTACACAAACATCACAAACAATGCTTCTGATAAGGAAGCACAAGAGCTAAATCAACAAATAAGAATTCAACACCAAAAGAGGAATCTTGACATTGCAAAGACAATAGAGCAGATGAAAAAGATATGACGCCTGGATGTACAGAGCTTCATGTGGTCTCATGGTCTGGAGAAGCTGACAGCAGTCACAGCCCTGGGGCTTCTGAAAAGACTGGACTGATTGGACTCATGTTGATATGGGTGAATTGTTTAAAAGATGCTATTTCCATATCGTTTAATAGTGACGGTTTATAATAACATACCTGTATGATATGTTAGAACGGAAACAGTGAATATTCAGAGGGTGACCTGTAATGTGCATTTGTTGCACTGTTGAGAAGATAAAGCTATGCCATAGAAGAACAAAACCAAATAGGATGGATGAAACGCATAAGATGTGCTGAGTAAACGTAAATAGCTAGTAAGTAGAGCATGTGTATGTTAAACGTAGACAGAAAAGAGTGGACAAGCCAGGAGAATCCTAATATTCATGAAATAATAAATATACATGAGACATATGAAGCACTAACAGGAAAACCCAAATACTCAGGATACAAAATATGCATGAACACTCAATGTTCCTAAGGCCTTAATTCGGCCAACCATTGGTGTCAGCCATCATGGCCAATGCATTCTCTCTCCATGAACTACAAATAAAACTCATGGTTGTTCACTAACCTAATTAATGACCTAGTTAATGACAAGGGCATACTCGTCCCCATCCCTGTGTCTCTCTGAAAAGTGTGTGTCCTTAGCTCCAGACACCATCTGCCTGTGGACCCTCTTGCTCAAGCTTCAGTTGTGATTTTTACAAACCAAAGCATCAATGGCGAAGGTTGATGTGGCTGGGAGAGAAAGAGAGAGACAGAGACAGAGAAAGAGAACAGATGAACTTTGCACACCCTAGGATTCAGGCGCCATGGTCCTTCCACCCCATTTACATCCTGTTTTGGGTTACTACCACTTGCTTCTCCCTGTGTATTTTAAATTAATAACCCATGTGATTTGAGCATTTTAATTTGATCTGTGAGCCTTTCTGTTGTGTGACCTCTGGGATAGCTTGCCTGGTAGTGCCCTAGGAGGTACACACTGCATCACGGTAATTTTCCACAAGACAGATGGAATCCAGGATTCTGGGACCTTAACCAGCTAACTACTATGATCATGTCCCCCAGCTAGGTTCCCAAGGGACATCTGTACACAGCGTCTGGGGGCATCTATGGAATCCTATGTGTGGATTTAGGCCCACGGAATTCACAGTGAAATCTGACCACGGGCTCCCAGTGTTCTGGGTCACTTGGAGCCGTGAGTTCTTCTGCTTAGATTAGGTGTCCACCAAAACTGACTAAGTGGCATCCTTATCACCCGGGCCCATAACCAAACTTTAGCTCAAAGGATCAAGGGAAAAAAACAACAGACAGCATCCTGGAGACAATGGGTCAAGGGAAGAGTTACATGAACGAGTGTAATCTCACTCCAGGCCTTCCCATGTCCCTGATTTCTGGGATAAGAAAGGATTCCACAGAGAAAGTTCACCATATGGACTCAGGGTTCCAATTCCTTTTGTGCTCACCATCACATTTTGAAAGCTCTGGCCCTTAGCACCAAGGCCCTGAGGGGTGGGGGTGGGGGGCGGGGGCAAGAGAGGGAGCCAAGCACTCCACCTGGTGGTCAGAATAATGTATTAACAGGTTTTTACTAAGAATTGGTTGCACTGAGTTATTTAAGCAATTGATAATGGTTTGTTTTCTCAAGGGCTCTGCAAATGGTCACAAGATAGAATACTATAGGACACCCTTCCTTTGGAGGCCAGGTGGCCTGGGTGACCTCTAAAGTCCACTCCAAACCTTAGATCTTATGAACCTTTCATAATTTGTCTTGTCACAAATGCAAAAGACATTACAGGCAGTCCTCACTTTGCATGATTCTAATATGCATGAATTTCCATTTCCATGATTTAGTTAAGTAACACCAGTCCCTCAACTACACGGTTCCAATTTCAGTTCCTGCAGTATATTAACCATGAGTGATTGCATAGGTACAAACTTCGCTTATAGCTCCTCAGTCCACAAATCACTATGGAAATGACAGATTTGCATTATGGTCTGTGACTGGTCATGTCAGACAGTTTGCACACAGACAGCAAAGTGTGTAGTTTTGCTGCCTCATTATCTCTCAGTGATAAAACCATGTGACGTTTTATCAAAATGGATAACTGAAAGAGGGAATTGGCCAATAAACAGAGAAACAAAAAGGGATAATGTGGTAAGTGAAATTCCAACTGAATGTAAGGCGAGTTATAGAAGTAATAAGTAACTGTGGGACTACTGTCACTGCCATGTTGTAGAGACTAGATATTCAGTCAGAGGAACTTTGGGAAGGAGAACTTACTGACATAAATGAAGGAGAGGATGAGGGTGTCTCACAAGAAGTGATAGTGGCCAAAACTTCTCACTAAAAAAACTCTCAGAGAGATTTTATGACATTGAAATCACGAAGGACAAAATGTTGGAAGCCGATCCATATTTAGAAAGGAGTATGACAATTTGCTAAGGTGTAGAAAAGATACTTGCTCCATATGGTATATTATACAGAAGTCAAGTACAGTTTAAATTGCTTTTGATAAGTTTTTTACAAAGAAATAAAACACGTTAATTCTCAGTATTTCTAACGTTTAAATTACAGTGTACCTGGGACTTCCTGGTGGCACAGTGGTTAAGATTCTGCACTCCTAATGCAGGGGGCCGGGGTTCGATCCCTGGTCAGGGAACTAGATCCCACATGTATGCTGCAACTAAGAGTTCACATGCCACAACTGAGGAGCCCAGCTGCCGTAACTAAGACCTGACACAACCAAATAAATAAGAAGAAAAGAAATCTTGAAATTACAGTGTACTAAATGTTAGTTTTGCCATTTTCTCATTTTCCTGTCTATGTATAGCTGGCAGTAAAAGAGTCTTTAATGTTTTGACAAACATTTTTAAAGTTTACGGAACAATTTTCATTTTCCTATTGATTATCAAGATAGCTTTGCATGATTTCAGCTTACACAGTCATTTTTAGTCCTGCACAACCATACAAAGTGAGCACTGTCTGCAATCTTTAAAGCAGGGTTACAAACTCAAAGGCCTTCAAGAGCCAGGAAGGTAAGGCAAATGAGGGAAGCAGGAAGGTAAAAGATGATATGTGACCACAAACCCCCTGGCCTTTGTGGGAAATGGTGGAGACCGTGCCCTAGGGAGCTTTATCCTGTCCAAGAAAGGCAGCCTCGACTCAACTCTATGGAGAGCCGAGTCGAGAGAAACGTTGGCCCAGGGTTGCCAGATCTTCTGATTCTGCAAGAGATGCCTGAAATCTGGATTTATATGTGAAACCTCACAACTTTTAAACAAAGACAGTGTTTCAAACTTAAAACACTCTGTGAACCAAACAAACAAAATGGCATCAAGCGATGGCCTTTATTTTAACATGCCTGCAATAGAACGGTGTCAGTGTTGAATGAAAGACAGCCATCGGAGGTTTGATACTAGGAAGGCTGGGAAGTCAGACGATTAAGAATTTTTGTTGGTTTTGTTGGCTGCTCGGCTTGCAGGATCTTAGTTCCCCCACCAGGGACTGAACCTGGGCCTCTGCAGTGGAAGCGCAGAGTCCTAACCACTGGACCACCGGGGAATTCCCCCACTTCCTTGTTTTATCTGTGGGCAGAGTGAACCTGAGATTCCCACCACTGCATCTCTGGAAGACAGTTCACTGCTTGAACCTGTGTAGGGCACCTGAAATGGAGAACTCGTTATCACATTTGCTAGGAGTCCTGAAGAAGAAAGATTCTTAAAGGATAGGAAGTAGGAAGTTTTGCTGGGTATATGGAATAGAAAGCACATAAAATAAATGGCTGCTGCTGGGGTTACCCCCGTGAAGGGCGGCAGGGAGGGGGAGCCCCAAGGGGGCTGCCACAAGAGAAGATGGAACCACCATCAGCAGTGAGGAGTCAGGGCACAGAGGCAAACTTCCTCTACTGTCTCATTGTGGATTTTCCCCCCAGTTCTATTTCATATTTATTAGGTCATGTACTGAGCCCCTGAACTGCTTCTGTTTGCCCACAGACTTGACAAATTACAGCTCAAATTATTTAATAAGACTAGAAGTTTTCAATTTGATTTTTATAACCATCCTTAGATACTGGAGGTAGATTAACCATCTGGAATTTCTATTTAGACATGTAACAGCAACTTCAGCTCAGATGAATGAGGACTCTGAGTTGGAAGAAATCCTAGAGGCCACTTAGCCGAAGCCTCAACCAAAGAAGGAATTTCCCTTTAAAACCCTTGGCTGGAGACCAGCAGGCTTCTGCTTGCAACACTCCCCCAAACTTGCTTCACCTTCAGTAAATACAATCAGCAACCTCACATATATACTTCCAACATCTAAGAACAAGACAGATGCTAAGGGTCTGACCACCTTCTCGCTCAACGAGAATAGAACATTTGCAAATGGAAGATTTGATGATAATATGGCACAACTGCAAAAAGAAGATCTGGAGGACAAATGTGATTGCTCAGGTAAATATTTCATTTTCAGTTTGAAAAGAATAACCACCTGATGAGGAATCATTATGAGTTTTGAGAGCTGAAACCAATTTTTGGTGAAGGGTGAGCATATATAAACAAGGCCACAGTGTTCTTGGAGTCATTTTCTTTCTGTCTTTGACTCTACACCAAAGCATTGCTTCCTTTTAGAAATTATATTAACAGTGTTATAGAAAATTTAGGAAAAACATGCATAATCCTATATACAAATACACTTTTCCTTTTGCATCTTTCTTCCCAACCAACCTCTGCTTGAATGCATACATAGTTTGACACGGCTGTCATCAAAGGGTTCATATTATTTGATTTTGAGGAAGATACTCTCACTTTGTTCCTAAATACTAATTTCCCCATTTTTTTTTTTTTTCATAAAACCCTGATCTTGCTTCCGAGTGGCAATGTGCCTGGTCCGAGGTAATGAATCAGATTTGGTAAACCAATTGTAATCATCCTGCTTCCCGTTTTTCCTTACAGCTAGGGGTAATCTGTGAACCAGCTTTGGCAAAAGAGACATAGGGAATGCCTGCTGGGAGTGCTTCTGGGAACGTTCTCACTTTCATCATAAAAGGGAATTCCCTTACCCCTTCTTCCTACATTGATCAAAGACATGATGGCTAGAGCTTTGGCAGCCATCTTGTGACCAAGAGGAAAAGCTCAGGAGAATTACAGGGATGTTGGCTTTGAACCAACACTGAAATTGGATTTCTTGGTTTATGAGAAAAATAAACTCTATCTGAGCCACTGTGGTTAGGCTGTCTGTTACAGCTGAATATAATTCTAGCTGATGAAAGCATTTTATTTCTACTTAATTTCTTAATTATTCTTTGCAATAGGTCATAACATTTAATTTTGTTGATATGCTATAATTTAACGACATTGTTTTATTGTTGAGGATATAGGTTGTTTTTAGTTATTTGATGTTACAGACAACACTTCAACAAGCATCTTTGTGCATTTAGCTTTTTATTTTATCAATAATGTGTTAAAGGCTATGAGCATCTTGATGGTTCTTAAATTGCTTTTCCGAAGTATTATATAAATGTACAATGCCTCCAAGAGTACATAACTAAATTAATTTCACCATAATTTCATCAGCAATGGGTCTTGCCATTATTTTTTGGCTGAATTTTTTAGGCATAAGATGCTACTTCAAGTTTGCTTTAATTAACAGCTCAGTTTTAATAGGAAGAAGTTAGTGATTTGTGTAAAATGGCTGAGAACTAGGCCAAAGCTGTCTGTGAATATGCAGGCATTTAGCCTCCCTGTCTGAATCATCTTCTCTTTTTATTATGAGGGCTGTGCTGGAGTGCAGGATCCCAGCCTTGATTGGCCTCTCATCTCTGCCATGTGTCTTCCCTCTGAAGGGGATGCTCAGCCTGGAAGTGCACAGAGACCTTCCCTGGCATTCATTGTGGCTGCTGAGGAAGTCGGGGCCCCAGCAGCAGGATCTGCTAAAGAGGCAAAGGATGGTCCAAATGAGTCCATGAGGACGGAGGAAAACAGTTCCGGAGAAGAACCGTTTGGTAGGATCCCTCTATATCCTCAGCGGCAGCATGAGGGGTGGGTGGCACAAAGGGAAAGCAGCCCACGGGCAGGCAGGCAACTGGGGGGGAGGGAGGGGTCTGGGCAGCTACACCTGGTCTGGGAGCTGGTAATCCCTAAAGCCTAATCTACCCCCTTGTATGGTTTGTCATCTTCTAGACTCTCTGCCCAAGGAGGGTGAGCTAAGCAAGCTTGGGGGTGAGGGTTGCAGGGCCACAGTGCTGCACAACCCCAGGGGGCACTGCTCACACAGACTACAACACACGAGGCACCCCCTGCTCAGTTACAGCTATCAAGTATGACGAGGATGAGGTGATCGTGGTGGACTCACCTTCTCATATCACTTCTCTGCTTAGAAACCATCCCTGGCTCCCCTTGTCTCTACAGTCCAAACCCTGAACATAATGTCCTTCATGACGTGGCCCTACCGACTCCCCACCTCTGTGCCACGTTCCCCTCTTCCCCACCACTTTTCCTGATTCCTTTAACATTGGACAGTCCAACCATGTTGATGTCCCTGACACATCCAAACACCACCATTTACTCCCAACACCCAGCTTGGAGGTTGCCTTCTTCGGGAAGTCTTTCTTTCAGTGCCCCAGGGAAGAGCGAGCCACTTCCTCCCTTGTGAAGTACCCCCTGTGTGACCCTGGCACGTTGCAGTTGCACAGACTTCTGTTCTAGCACTTACTGTATTGTATGTAGTTCACTTCGCTGTTGCACTGTGAGTTCCCTGCAAGACAGAGCCCTCAAACTTTTCAACTTTGTGTTTCTAGCACACAGCATAATGCACAACCGGACGCAGTACACAACAGATGCTTGCTAAATTAATGACATTTTATGGGTCTAACTTGTTTTGGAATAGAACTCATTCTTCAGCTGCAATGGTATATATGATCAAGAGACTACAAATGTCCCTTCTTAGTCTCATTGTTTCAATTGCTGGATCACTAGCAAGGTTGAATTCTGGTGGTTCTCAAAGTTGGTTACTCATCAGATTCACCTGTGGAGCTTACAAACACCCCCCCCCCATAAGCACAGAACAATTAAATCAGAATCTCTGCTGGTAGAAGGCAGGCATTTGTGCTTTAAGGACCATCCCCCAGGTGATTCTAATATACAGCCTCACGCTGAGAACCACTAGCTTAAACAATCCTGAGCAGTTAGTTAAAAAAAGCTTTTCCTGTGTGCCCCCCATATAGTACAATATAAGCCCTGTGTTAGGCATTTGGAAGTGGGGTGGGAGGTGGAGTTTGCCCCTAAGGGCAGCCTCAGAACTTCTATATTAGTCATAGTACCTGCCCTGAAGAAACTGCATTCCTTACAGTTGCAAGAGACAATAGAATATGGTCTAAGATGGTATCTAAATTGTATGGTTTAGATTCGGGTTTCACAACAGTGATGTTTTGGGTTAGATAATTCTTTGTTGTGGGAGGCTGTCCTGTGCACAGTAGGATATTTAGAAACATCTTTGGGGCTGTATCCACTAGATGAACACCCCCGTCTCCATCACCATTTATAAAAATCAAAAATGTCTTCAAACATGGCCAAATGTCCTCTGGGACTAAAATCATTCCTTATTGAGAACCACTGATTTTCATTTAGGCGTTGCAGTTGAACGAGACCCAGATGATTGGTATGCACACTGAAGTGAGAGACAAGCACCATTCTAGAGCATTGGTTCTCAACGTGTGGCCCCGGGTCAGCAGCATCACCTAGGAACCTGTTGGACATCTATATTCTTGGGCCTCACCCCAGATGTACTGACCCCCAAACTCTGTTTTAATAAGTCCTCTGGGTGATCTTCACGCACGTTCAATTTTCAGGTGCACTACTAAATGGTCTAAAGAGGGATGGAAGATTGAATGCTTTGGAGCAATCGGAAAATTCTTAGGAGTAGAGCTTGATTGGGGGTTGGCCGGGAGGGTATTACAGGTGAAGGAAAGAGCATTGGAGAAGGATTTTCAGATGTGTATTAGCCTTTACTGTGAAACTGCCAAATCCCTCAATTTCTCCCTTAATTTTTTTAAACTTCCTCAATCTGTTTGCTTTCTTGAATTTGGATTTGAAACCATTTCTCCTGCACTTTGTACTCTGTGATGTGTTCGTCAAGTTGTTCAACTAATTCTTTGAGAACCTCAACAAAACAGAGGATCACTTGCAGAAACACAGGAGTGTGTTTTTGAAAAGTTGTGCGTAATCAAATATTTACCTTCAGACGTATGTACAAATCACTACATATTTATAAATGTATTTCTCATTTACAGGGATTTTGTATTGTGGACCATTTTTATACAGTTAATAACAATCCCCTTAATTTCTACTTTTAGTGGATTTCAGATCTAATATCCCAAATCTATCCTCAAACCCGCAGCTAGAGTGAGATTTCTAAACCAAAAACCCCAATCCCTTCATTCTCTTACTTAAAGCCTTTCAGTGACTCCTTATGGGCCTCAGGATAAAGTCCAAACTCATTATTTTTCACAAGACCTTTCACTACCTAGGCTTACTTTCTAGTCTCATCTATAGATTAAATTATGGGCA